TTTAGTCCCTGGATATCCAATTCCCTATGCTGAATACCCTTGCTGAGATAGTTATTGTGGCTTGTATTTCCTCAAGTGAATCCTGATTAAAACACCCAGCATAACCTATGATTGTATAAAATTGGCAAGAACAAAGCTCTCCTATTTCTAGGACTCAGGAAAGCCCATGTGTAATTGGTCTAAACTGAAATACAGACTTTTTTTTTTAAGTTTGCTGTAGGGTGCATGCACTCACTGGAGACAGAAAGTGAAAACACACACACACACACATATCCCGGGGGAGATGGGAACACTGCAATCGCTGCGATCCCCTCAGGATTTTAGGCATGATGGACACATGCCCCATGTGGTTTTCTAGCCACTGGGTCTGAGACTTGAACTGTGCAGTTAGCCATGTGAGATTCAGTCGCCGTAACATCCACACCACCTGCTGGCCCAGAGAGCCAAACCCTTTGATAGAGCACGTGTGCACATACATGGCACAGTGAGAGACAGCACCCTCAGCAAGAGCTCTTTGTGCCATTATCACTTTTCCTCAGCCCTCAAGCTCATCAGGATCTTGGGCACCTGCATCACACATTGTGGTTTTTATTTTTTAAAGAATTTTTGTAGTTGTAGTGCCAACCCAGGGATCCAAGCCTACAGTTGGCATGTGGCTTCCGGTCTTGCAGGGCACTACATTACCACTGTGCCACAGTGGCTGGGCCCAGCCAAACGTCTTATGGCTCTTAAGATATTCCATGGACAGACTCATCATGACCTCCAATACAAGGATGGAAGCCTTCAGAACTGAAGTTTTAGGGATGGAGCCTAATTACAGCAGCATGGGACCACGAAAATCAAGTTGCAAAGAAATACAAAGAACCTGGACCCTCTCTTCACAACACTCCCCCGTCCCCACTGGACTCAGGGTCCATGTTGCTCCAAGTCCTGCCATAAGGAAAACTATATTGGGGGCAAAAAATCAGACTCAAAATGACTGTTTATACATGATCGTTTATAATCATCTTTACACAGGAAGAAGACACAGGTAGACAGAGTACTAGCACAACTCCCCAGTCCTTTTAGTTCTCAAAGCTTTTCATGTGTTTTCCACACCCTTATCCATACCATACATGTGGAAATCATGTTAAATGGATCAAGTATCCCTGAGAACTGATTTTCTCTGAAGTCAAGGTCCTTTGTGACATAGGAGCTATGGTTAACGTGGCAGCAGAGATGAATGCAATCTTCATCGGCAGACAGATAGAAAACACTTGGATACCACATCTGGGGAGCTGAAGAGCACAAAGTCACTGGGTCTTCATCGGCAGACAGATAGAAAACACTTGTTGGATACCGTATCTGGGGAGCTGAAGAGCACAAAGTCACTGGATGACTCCAAGAAGTGAGACTCCCCAAAGTGGGACTGCTGGAGTGGAGGAGTTGAATAGCCACGAGGAAGAATTATTTCCCTCATCCCTTTCACCGCCACTCTGATGATCACACTATTCTCATTTTACAAATCCAGAAAGTGAGGTAATGAGGCCCACCTGCAGCAGTGCAAGATGGAGGGTGCCGATGTTTGAGGCTGAAACCACATGGGAGACCTGGGTTTGGTTCCGGCCCAGTCTAAATACTCTAGGCACAATGTGGTCCGGGTCAGCTATGAGGCTATGACAGGAGAATCCTGGCATGGCAAGATCCTGTCAAAAACACCTTTTTCTCTTAAACAAAGGTGAGGTATTGAAAGTTAAGCAGCTCCCCCATGGTCATACAGGTAGAGACCACAAAGGGAATTCCCTTTCTTCTCTCCTGCACTCCATTGCTCTTTTTGAAAGTCTAAAATTCATGCAATTATAGTTCAGTACCTGAAAGATTAAATGCTTGTGGACTATCCAAGTAGTTTAAAAGCCACCTAAAATCAGTCTTGGCTAACAGTTCCTATAAATGCAGGCAGCAGTCTGCCCTTGGGATGCAGTCTGCAGACTCAGGTGCTAGTGTTCTCAACAGACATCCTGTGTGTTCAACAGGGTTCCTTCCTCGGGTAGATCCTGAATTCTAACCTTTCATCTCAACAGCATTATGAACCTCAGGACAATTCCTCTCTGCTCTTCAGAAGTTTTCAGCCTAGATTTTAGCCTTTGCTTTGAGTAGTTGCAAAACTCTGCAATTATCCTGACAGAAAAACCAGCTATGTGGCCGACGACCTTCCAGTCTCCAGTACTGTCACCCGACCTCTGGAGACAGCCAAGAGCTCTGCCATGGTATTCATTATACACCAGCGGCAGCCCTGATTCTTGTCCGATAACCGAACATGCTCATGTCACCAGAAAGAGAGTTGTTGCAAATAGCAGTTTTCCTCTTAAGTCTTCCCTCTCTAGAATATCTGGCCCTTTAGTTCTCATTGCTTCAGTAGCTCACTAATTCTTTTAAGTAGATAATTTCATAACTCTATCTAGCTTTTCTCATGGTTCACAGTAGAAATATGGGTCTGTTGCAATCCCATCTGTAAAGCATAGTTTTTGTTTTCCATATAATTACAAAATTGTATATCAAAACTAAATAAGCCAAAAAGTCACAATGCTATTTCCTTTTTTAAAAACTTTATTTATTCATTTTATTATTTATTTTAATTTGACCAGAGAGGGACAGAGAGATGGGGGGAGAGAGAGGGGGAATGTGAGAAAAGCAAGCCACCAGGTCTGGGATTCAAACCGTGGTTGACCATGTGGGAATCCAGCGCCCTTAACCACCATGCCACCTGCCAGCCCTTGCTATTTCCTTTTCACACTGAAAAAAACCTTCCTGAACTATACTTTTTAAAACTTCAAAGGTACAAAAGGACCATCTAGAGTGGTGCAGGCTGAGATTTATAAGCTTTATCTTGCTATAATATAGAACAGAGTTGCTTTGCATTCTTTTTTAATAACTATTTATTTTTTATTTATTCATTCATTGATTTTTTTTTTTTTAGTTTGACCAGAGAGAGACAGAGGGTGAAAGTGAGAGAGAAAGGAAGTGAGAAAGCAAGTCACCAGGTCCAGAACTCGAATCCCAGTCGGCCATGTGGGAGTATCCAGCACCTTAACCACCACGCCACCTGCT